CAGCTCCATGGCCACCGCCATCTTAGTTGGGTTAATTTGCATACTCGCTCCTGATTGCCTGGTGGGTGTAGCGGAGTAGCGGAGTGATGGTTAATTTGCATGTTTCTCTTTTATTAGTGTAGACATTTTCAAATTTTTCAGGTAGATATGCAAAAGAAGGGTCATGTGGTAGCTCTAGTCTTAAATTTTTGAGGAATCCCATACTATTTTCCATAGTGGCTGTACCAATTTACACTCCCACCAGCAGTATATAACTGTTCTGTTTTTCTCTACCACCTCTGCAACACTTATTTCTTGTCTTGTTGATAATAGCCATCCTAACAGTTGTGATTTTAACTTTCATTTTTCTAATAGCTAATGAAGACGAGCATCTTTTCATATATCTTTTGGTCATTTGTATGTCTTCCTTGGAGAAGTGTCTGTTCAGGTCCTCTGTCATTTTTTAATTTGATTTTTTGTTGTTGCGTTATATGGGTTTTTTGTATATTTTGGATATTAGCCCCTTATCAAAGGTATTATTTGCAAATATCTTCTTCAATTCGGTTGGTTGCCTTTTTGTTTTGTTGTTGGTTTCTTTTGCTGTGCCACTAGGCCCTATAAAGACTGTGCCACTAGGCCCTATAAACCACATACTACATAAGGCCACTCTACCAAATCTGGGGGACGCAGCAGCTCTACCTAATACATAGAAACAAACATAGGAAGGCAGCCAACATGAGGAGACAAAGAAAAATGACTTAAATTAAAAAGAGCAGGAAAAAAACTCCAGAAAAGAAACTAAATGAAACCGAGGCAAGCAATCTATAGATGTAGAATTCAAAACACTGGTTATAAAGTTGTGTGGGCCAACACTCTAGCCACTGCTCAGCACATTCTTAAACAAGCCTACCTAAAGGTCATCTGACCCTTAGAAAAATGTACCTTTGTTTAAATTATTATTTAGTATTGATTAGGGCCAGAACATAAAGTTAGGTGTCAACTTGGAGAAAACTTATAAAAATGGAAATGACTTTTGTCCAGTGGAGATACAAATTATTTTTGTCTAGTAGAGAAGTTAACTCCAAAGGTATGGTTTCATTGTCACACAGCATATTAACCAACTTCATATTCTAGGTTTGTATCTAATTTAGCAATCTAATTTCAACAGTTCTTTGTTGCACTGACTATACTGGTATGTATGTTGGTTTCTCACTTCTCTTTTGAGTGGGGATTTAGTCATCCTGCTTGTTCCCTTATCAATGTGTTAAATAAAACTTGGTCTCATGCTCACTATTTGTAGGCATGAGAATTATATTTTCCCAAAAATATATAAAAAAGCTCCACAGAAATGTTGGTTTTGCTAGAGAAACAGTAACTCTGCTAAACCTCCAGAAACAATGCCCAGAACTTCTGTATCTATTTTTATTACTGATCAAATAAACTGCTTAATTTTCATAAGTAATGTCAAGAATAATAAATATACTAAAAAATAATTATTAACTTATCACCATCATCAATCCATAAGTATACCTATCCAATGAAGAAGGACAAGAATAATCTTCACAAAACAACAACAATTTCTTTGTTATGAAAAATTATCCAAACAGCCAAATATTTTAAAATATATGCTCAGATCACTTCAACCACCTCTGGGCACAGAGTGTGCAAGCAAAGAAATCTCCACAATCAAACCCAAAAATAAAGTTTAAATAACCACATTTGGCGCTGGCTGGAATGGCCCAGTTGGCTGGAGCGTCAACCAGTACACCAAAAGGTTGCAGGTTTTCAGGGCACATACCTAGGGTTATGGGCTTGATCCCCAGTGAGGGTGCATACGGGAGGCAACAAATCAATGTTTCTCTCTCACATCAATGTTTCTCTCTTCCTCAGTCTCTAAAAATCAACATATCCTTGGGTGAAGGTTAAATAACCATATTGGAACCCCAGGTTTCAGGACAGTCCTCAGTAGCCACAGTAATAGCATAACTAAACACTGCAAGCCTACTGACTAAGTATGCTAAAATAAAGGTATTAATCCTATTTTTTTAAAAAAAACACCCAATCTTATTAGAGTAAAATATCCAGCCCTACCACTTACAATAAGTAATTTTTATGAGCCACACATTATACATCAGATATAACAGCCTTTTCATCTGGAACACACATTTGCCAAAGCATTAACTATGGCTAACCAATCCAACATATACATTCTAATGGAGCATCTCTAGTTTGTATGTGTCTATTTATTCATGTATGATGAAACATATAAGGAGCCTGCATACCACAGACACCTGGAATATCAAAGTGATCCCATTATTTTCACATATGAATCAGCACTTATAGGCCAGGTACTCCTATGAGAACACGTTTTCTGAGGCGATACAATAATTACAAATTTACTTGCAACTATCCATTCATTAAAAGAATGAACCTGAAGTGAGTAAGTCCTTCCTTACATAGTTCTTTACTTTTCACTATTTTTTACATGAAAAAGGATCAAATAAGTCCTCAGGATGAACACCAAATATAAATAAAATTCCATTTCATCCTTAGTGCATAATCAAAAATATCTTAATATTTATTTTCCCAATTACATAATTACCTGATAAGAGGACTATTTCCACAGTGGATCCCTAGAGCATGTGCTCTGCTGCCACTGGTGCTAGCGATATACAGCCTGCTGCTGTCTGTCCTGCTCTGAGGTTTATTTTCAAAGTCAAAATCTCAAGTTAGTGTATCTGATTGCTAAAACCTCAGTCACATGGATTCCCCTGCACATATAATAAGCTGAAAAATGCAAGTTGTTTTGTTTTCTTTAATCTATCTTGAGAAGGCAGTCTTGACTTTTATCAAATGCAAATCTGACATTTTATTTTACTTACTTTAAATTTTTCAAAAAAAATCTTTAACTTATTATTTAAGCATTGCTATAATTTCCTCTCAACATGTTTTCCCAGATTATTCTCCCAATCTATCTCCCACCTACATCCATACCTTTCTCTCTCGCCTTCCCTCCATTATTCCCTTCCTCTCTTTCTTACACACACACACACACACACACACACACACACACTTCCTCTGGCTCGAGTATACTATTAATCTCTGAAACACACCACCATCCCTGCCCATAGTAATGATCTTCCCTCAGCTAAAATGATATTTTTCCATAAAGTATTCTCCATCTATCTCAGGTAGAAACATTCACTCTTACCTCAAAATTACACTACACACAACACATGCTTTATATTTTACCACACTTTTATTAGCCTATACATCTCCTCCTTCCAGAATCCCCAAACCATGCATCAGACTGAGTTAGGAATTGTTCTTTGTGCTTCTGAGCAACCTGAAGTTAACTCTAGTTTAGCACTTATCACAATGTATTGTAATGACCTGTTTCTTATACTGACATGTGAACTCCATTAAGACTATGTGTGTTTATTCACCATTGTATTCCACCTATATAGTACCCAATAGGTACTCAATAAATATTTGTTGAATAATAAGAAGATGAAATCAAGAATAAACATGTTTCCTAGTCAGCCTCATTTATGAGTATGAGCTACTCAAAATGCCTAGGAAAATGTCATGTACTGTAAAAGTTTATGAAGTGCTTGGATAAAAGGAAATTAAATAACAATAGTAAGTTCACAAATTTGTCTTCAGAATTTCCAGAGACTGTAGAAAGCAGTAATTAGATTGACAGCATTACTAGAAAAGCCAATGCTATAATCCTGCTACCAACTGGAATGAAAGTATGTGTACGCTTGACTATCTTCATCTAAAGCCTTTTTGTCCAGGAGCAGCACATGACCTTGTACAGGAGAGGAAATCAATGCAGGATTGTTAAGCTGGGGAATGTCTTACCCATGGATCTACAAACCATTCGCCAGCATTCAGAGTTGACAGGAATTTCCAATAGAAGAAGGATGTTGCTGTATAGGATTCGTTTGGCTTGACCTCCCTGATATTGGTTGTTCTTCTCAGGTTATGGTCATGCATGAGAAAAGGCACCTCATCAATACTGCAGGCAGAGGGGGGAAAGAGGGGAAGGGATGGATAGGCTGAACTCAGCCACCTTGGCACATAGAGTTCTCAGAAGCCCATCAAGGTCACAAGTTTCACTAGGGTTCCTTACTCCCTCCCAGATCTCATCAAAGGCTTACTTGCTAGTCATTTGATGTCCATATTTTTCAGCCCTAGGGTTCAATCTTTTGTGGTATATCATATCAGTGATGGTGAAAGAGTAGCTTCCCTATCCAGGTGTTTTCTGGCATCAGGAAAACAGCAGGTACAGTAGTGACTGAGAGTGAATGGGGTGGTGCTAGGGCAAGGCCCTAAGGTCCCAAAATTATGCTAAGCATGCATCCACACAATCTTCCTGTGTTTTTCTGACCCATTCCCCAGCTAGGCACTTGCCCTGAGTATTTCTGGCCTACATCCTTCACATCAGGTAGTATCATTAGAAAAACATCCTGGTTCTCTTATCTGCTATTTGCCTTGAAGAATCTCTGCCTTTATGAAAATCTATCTTCCTTTCCCATTAAAATACCTATGAAAAGAACCCTGTAATGGCCATGAGGGTGAAACAGGGTTGAGACTTAGCTTCCTGCCCATTAACACCTACAAAATTGGATGAAATGAAGGAAATAACTTTTTCAGCCAATGGAGTACAGTATGATGATTTCAGAAAAGACAAATAAATGAAATAAGCTCTACCATTATCTAAGCTTCCTTCTTGCAGGTGAATACAGGATTGTGGAATACAGGACGGGGGAACCTAAAAGGGACCCAGCTATTGTGCTGAAATGAGGAGAAAAAGATCAGATTAAGGAGAGGTCAAGACATCTAGAATTTATGGGCTAGAGTCCTATAGAGCAGGAGTCCTCAAACTACGGCCCACGGGCCACATGCAAATACAAATATTGTATATGTTCTCGTTTTGTTTTTTTACTTCAAAATAAGATATGTGCAGTGTGCATAGGAATTTGTTCATAGTTTTTTTTTTAAACTAAAGTCCGGCCCTCCAACGGTCTGAGGGACAGTGAACTGGCCCCCTGTTTAAAAAGTTTGAGGACCCCGGCTATAGAGGTTGGAGCTTGAGAAAGACAGAGAGAAGGAGATCTCTTGATTGATCTAGGGCAGTGGTCGGCAAACCGCGGCCCAAAGAGCCACATGCAGCTCTTTGGCCTCTTGAGTGTGGCTCTTCCACAAAATACCACGTGCAGGCGTGCACGTACAGTGCAATTGAAACTTCGTGGCCCATGCGCAGAAGTCGGTTTTCGGCCTGGGCAAGTCTATTTTGAAGAAGTGGCGTTAGAAGTGGGGGTATGTTCGCTGAGGTCGACCCCTCAAATTGAGGACGTTTTTAGCAAAGGCCAGCTTAGGAGTACCCTAATTAAGTTAATAACAATGTACCTACCTATATAGTTTAAGTTTAAAAAATTTGGCTCTCAAAAGAAATTTCAATCATTGTACTGTTGATATTTGGCTCTGTTGACTAATGAGTTTGCCAACCACTGATCTAGGGAAATATGCAATTCGCAGGAAAAAGCCTGGATATAAACTGGGGTTAATTTTACTCCATTTCAGCTCTCAGCCCTGTAGCAGCTATCCATCCCCCACTAAGAGCCATATCGATAGCAACTGTGTACAGGTTCCTGGAATAGCTTGCACAGCAGCTGGTGAGAACCGGGGTAGTGAAAAGGACCCTGTACTGCAACTATGAGGGTTTATGCTCTGGTTGCTGGCTGCTGCTTTTTGTCACTGACGGGCAGACAGAGAGGTGGGCAACCATTGTTGCAGCTCCCCCCACTGTTGCAAAGCCCTCCCACTCTGCTTGAAGTGACTTTCAGAGGATTTAAAAATCCAGCCCCCCTGCCCTGACGGGTTTGGCTCAGTGCATAGAGTGTCGGCCTGCGGACTGGGGGGGTCCCAGGTTCGATTCCAGTCAAGGGCATGTACCTTGGTTGCGGGCACATCCCCGGTGGGGGGTGTGCAGGAGGCAGCTGATCGATCTTTCTCTCTCATCGATGTTTCTAACTCTCTGTCCCTCTCCCTTCCTCTCTGTAAAAAATCAATAAAATATATTTCAAAAAAATGTTTACTTAAAAAGAAAATCCAGCACCCTTTTTACTACTCTTCATTTTTCTCCTTTTGAAAGACAGACATTAAAGACAATCATTTTAAAACAAGTGAATATATGAAAAATTTACAAAGTGACTGTATAAAACAGCTGCATATATAGGGAAATTAGAATGTGACTGGTATGCCCAAGAAAGGGATCAGAAAAATCTGAAAATACCTGAAGTTTGCACCTCAGGTTAACCCATGGCACAGAGACATCCTAAACAAATTATAATAAAATTATTTTAAATGCAGTAAATCCTTAGGAAGGAGGAGAATCTGATTTCCAGTGTTACTACTTTATTAAATTCAAATGTCCATTTTTCAACCAAAAAAAATCATCAAAAATATCACAAGGCATATAAAGAAACAGAAAAGCATGGCCCATTTAAAGGAAAAAAATAAATCAACAAAAACTGTCTCTGAAAAAGAGCTGATGGCAAATATACTAGACAAAGACTTTTAAAAAACTGTCTTCAAGATACTCAAATAAGTAAAGAAACATGTAGATAAAGTCAAGAAAACAATGTATGAATGAAAGAACAATATTAATAAAACAATTAAAAATCTAAAAGAAACAAAAAATAATTTTGGAGCCAAAATGTACAATATCTGAAATGAAAAACTGACTAAAGAGATTCAAAGGAAGATTTAAGCAGGCAGAAGAAAGAATCAGTGACTTACAAGGTATGACAATAGAAGTTATTGAGTCTAAGGAACAGAAATATAAAAGATCATATAAAACAGTCTAAGGAATACACCGACACCAAAGCCAAACAAACACCCTAGAAGAAAATAAAACTCAGCCCGGCAGTGTTGCTCAGTGGTTGAGTGTTGACCCATGAACCAAGAGGTCACTGGTTTGATTCCTGGTCAGGGGCACATGTCCGAGTTACAGGCTCAAACCCCAGTAGGGGGCATGCAGGAGGCAGTCGATCAGTGATTCTCTCTCATCATTGATGTTTCTATCTCTCTATCTCTCTAGCCCTCTCCCTTCCTCTCTCTCTAAAATCAACTTTAAAAAAAAATAAAACTATAGAACAACATCCCTTATGAACACTGATGCAAAAATCCTTAACAAAATACTAGAAAGCAGAATTCTGCGGTGTATTAAAAAAATTATAAAATATGGCCAAAAACAATTTATTCCTAAAATGAAAGGATGGTTCAACATAACAAAATCTATCAATGCAATACATCATATTAACAGAATGAATGGAAAAAAACACATAATAATTTCAATTGTCACAGAAAAAGCATTTAATAAAATTCAACACCCTTTTATAATACCACTTAATAATGTAGGAATAGAAGAAAACATCCCAACATAACAACAGACATAAGAAAACCTACAGTGAACATCATATTCCAACAGTGAAAAACTGAAAACTTTTCCACTAGGAACAAAGCAAGGCAAGGCAAGAAATAAGGCAAGGTCTACTTTTTCCTCTTTTCACAGCAGTACTGGAAGTTCTAGCCAGAGCAAATAAGCAACACAGAGAAATGGATGGCATAAAAATTAGGAAGAAATAAAATTACCTGTTTTCAGATGATAAAATCATATGTAGAAAACCGTAAATATTCCCATAAAAAAAAACAGAACTAATAAATGAATTCAGCAAACTAGCAGGATACAAAGTCAAAACACAAATATCAGTTGCATTTCTATACAGTAACTAGAGGCCTGGTGCACAAAATTAGTGCAGGGGGGGTTCCCCTCAACCCAGCCTGCACCCTCTCGGACCAGCCTGCACCCTCCAACTGCCTCGGACATTCCTCTCGCAATCCGCTGCTGGCTCCTCCTA